TTTTTTTTTTTTTTTTTTCTGATTTTTTGGGTACCTATATTATTTTCGTTTGGTATTTAGTACATAGGACATTATAGAATAATAAAAGCTAATTGTTTGTGCAGCAAATTTTTGTTTCGTTCTTGATTTTTAATTTTTTTTAATTACAGTTCAATTAAACGATAAGAATTTTTATGAGGCTTATATATATGTAATTGTAGAATACAGAGATAGTCAGGTTGATTGACAGATAAATATTGCTGATGCATTCTAAAATTAAGCAATTGTTTAGTGATTGTTGTTTTACAACTACGGTTTTATTCAATTGCTTTCTTAATGTTTACTCTGTGTGTGTGTGTGTGTGTGTGCGTGTGCGTGAAACTTTTTTTTATTTTAAGGGTTCTCAACAGCATCTTTAGCAACAACGCCTAGTGAACCAAGTTCGGTATTAAATTCACCATTTGCAATTGCTTCGTTAACATCAAAAAAGGATACGGTCAAAAAGGAATGTGATGCAAGCAAAGAGAATCAAGAAATTTCTAGCGACAGTTTTGTTGCAAATGCATCAAAAGTTACCCAACCACTGCGATGTAAGTGCCATCAACAAACGGATAACTACAGATTATTTGATAGGAATTTTTTTTTTTTTTGGTTGCTTAAATACTACTTCAGTTTAAAAAAATCTTACCATTTATTGACTTTATTGTTTACTTCATATTAAACTTTGACCGAGCAATCATCTGAAAAACTGAAAAAAAAAAGAAGGAAAATAAAGCTAGTTTTTTTTTTTGCACTTCTGCCACAAGTTGCACTATCGGGAAGGCATTTTTTTTTTTTTTTTTGCCGCCTTCTTTTTACATGTGTATTCCCAAAGTATTTCCAAAACTATTTTGAAGTTCAATTGGTTTATACTCAAAGCTGCTGCAGATGTGCATTGAATTGAAGAAAAAAAACCGAACAAAATTAAGTTATTTCATTAGTAAAAGAAAAAGCAAAAAAAAAAAAATGCGCTTTATTTGCTGGATCTTCTAATTTAACTATTATATATTAAATTAACTTTTTTTTTGCTTCTTTTTTTTCATTCAACCCATATATTTGTCTGAGGATATACATTTACGTCAGTTAATGTTCTAGGTGCATTGATCTGAATTGAGGTCATCCCATATATATAAACGCACACACACATGTATATATATTTACATTGATGTTATTCGAATGGTGTGTCAATTAACGTTAGTACACCTAGAAAATTTTATCCCGCTTTTTTGTTTGCAGTAAGTGTTCACGATCCGACTCCATCTGTATCGGATGCCCAGGACTTGTCGACGCTAAATGATCACCATTCACCGTCATCCGGCAGTCCGGATGAAAATGGGAAACGTAAACAGCGCCGGTATCGAACTACTTTTACAGCTTATCAGCTGGATGAGCTGGAAAAAGTTTTTGCCACCACTCATTATCCCGATGTATTTGTAAGGTAAACTGCAATGAAAATTTTGTTATCGTAAATTGTTAAAAGAAAATGATAGCAAGTTAAAAAGGGAGTAAGTGAAATTGAGAAAATAAGTGAATGAACGAAGAATAGAATTATGGGAGGAAGATGACGAAGGTGGTGGTGATGGTGGTAGGGAAGATGCAGTCATCAGACGACCACTGAATCAGCCAACGTTTGTAGGCGGATTCGTTGTTCCGTGGTTGTTCTTTGAACAATGTCAATTGATTCCGACAAGGGAAGTAAGAAAACAATCTTATTGGTTTAGAAATTAATCGTCTAAAGTATTATTATGTAAAGAGATTATAAGTTCAAAAATAAAAGCAAAAAAAAAGAAAAAAAAAAAGAAAGAAGAATCAAAATTAATCTTACTTTGTCATACTCATTTATAAGCTAATTTCCTCGTGTTTTTTGCGGACTGGAAGATGAGAAAAGAAACAAAAAAAACATACTGACGCTGATTAAGTGCTAAGGTTATTTGGAGAAGGGTAGCAAAAAATATGAAAAAACGACGGGTTTTTTCTTCCTTTCTGCTTTTTTTTTTGGTTTTTTAGTAAGCGTGTGAAATTCGAAGTAAAAAATGTGGCCATGGCAACATAACCCTCATTTGCCATTTATTTAATAACAAGAAAATGCAGTTTTTGCCATGGAAAAATTATGGATAGCTGTTGTTGGAAAACGCAACAGCATTGAACTAAAAATGATTGATTTCCACACAAAAACAATTGATAACCAATGAACCTCATATGAACTTTTTTCTTCAGTCATTTTTTTTGTGTCCACCATGAAAAAAAAAAAGCAGCAGAAGAATTGGGAAAACAAAAAAAAAGTTAGATGAATAAATAAACTTTTTATTTTCAGATTTTTTTTGTGCCAAATCGGTTACCTTTCCTTTTCTTTCTTTTTTTTCTTGCATTACTATTATTCTATAATTGTTGTCCGGGATTCTTATAAACTTTAATAATGGTTTTCTTCAATTTAATTAATTCAATTTCTTCGTTTTTATTTTCTATTTTCGTCTTTTTTTATTTCCTTAATTTAATTAGGTAAGGCTGCTGAAAACATGCTTTGTCGATTAAATAGTTGGAAAGGTGATAGTAAACTGAAATGGAAGAGGGGGCGAAGCGGAACTGATAAAACTAATCAGTTGGTATTTTTGGCTTTTGCTGCTCAAAATGAATGTTACCTTACTGGTCGATTGCAGGTTTTGAGAAGGGGATGTAATGAAAATGGTATTAAATCAATGGCTGTAAAAGAGAAGAACTAAAATAAGCTGTTTAACTAGGCCATACTGAACCATTAGATTAATCAGTTTGGTTGTTAACTTCATGGAGTGGTTCAAAAAATAAAAAAAAAAAAAGAATTCCAAATCTGTTGCTTTTGATCAGCAGCTATTCCCTACTACTTCTCAGCATGTGTTTGCTTATTTAATTATCTGTTTTGAAAATGGATTTATCTATCGTTTTATCTACATCTATCCACCTGTTCTGCATTTATTCACTCAACCAGCCGTCCATTCGTCCACCTATTTAGATACTTTTTTATTTAATACCAATCATTTGTTGTATGGGGGTATTAATATAGTCGTAATCGCTAAATTGTTTTTTTTTTTCTTTTTTCTTTCTCCCTCTTTTTGTTATAAAATTATAAATAGATTTTTGGTTAGTTGATGATGTTGTAAACCATATAATTTTTTTTTTCCTCTGATAACGGTCAAATTAAGGAAAAAAAATTTGAACAAATATTCTTCTTTTTTTTTTTCTTTGGATATTTTTGAACCGTTAAAGAAGGCGTGAGAAATAAAGCAAAAATTATGTGTTAATTATTTTTTTAATAGTGAAAGAAAGAAAAAATTAGATGAGATTCCTAAGACAACAACTATCGATGTCGATGGTGTTGTTGTTGTTGTTGTTGTTGTTGTTATTGTTGTTGTTGTTGTTGTTGTTGTTGTTGTTGCTATCGTTGTCGTCGTCGTTGTTTTCACAGTTGTAATCGTCATCACACTGATACAAATATGAACTGATTATGCACTTGCTTAATGCTTTTTGAGTAATAATTGTTTTGATTAGTACAAATAACCCTTCTAATAGATGTGGGTAATAAATTGGCGTGAGTGTTTCAAGAACCAAAAATTTAAAAAGCATAAAAAATAGGGGAAGGGTCGTGGAGAGAGAAGGGTGAGAAGGAATTCAGTCTTTTTAGAGAAAT